GAGATATAAGTATTTTCCATGTGAAATTAGATTTCTTGCACAGCTTCATTATCTTTTTTTCTTTCCAGACCTTACCAATTGGGAGGAACTTGCACTATGGAAGCAACTTACTGATTTGATCCTTTCTGGGAGTTGGGTATTAATATGAATAAAGAGCACTAACATCCATCATTACTAACTTATGTTTTGGAAAAGAAATTATATAATTTAAGCCCTCTATTAAAATATAAATAAATAATAAAACAACATTTCAGTAATATCTTGTAATAGTGAGTTCTACTGGACAATTATAACTAACTTTAAAAGTGCTTTGAATGCAATAAACAGCTAAATTTTATCAAGGAGATTACTGTCACATTTATTTGCTTTGTACTGCAACATAGGGTAAACAGAATTACTGATTCCCTTTCTTGGTAACATTCTAATCTAGCATTAACTTACGTTTTTCTGGTTTTTACTACCAAAACACAGGGGCTGACCTGCATGACCCTCTCTCATTTCTTCTTCACAAGCTTCCCTATGTCTAATAATTTTCATATCTTTGTGTTGTTTCTATTTGTGCTGTATTTTTGTGAGAAAGTAATTAAGTTTTTCATACATTAATATAATGCAAAAATTATTTTTTACAATTTTTAACTTTTCATTTTTACTTTAAAAGTAGACTGTTAGAACATGTTCTTGACTTGGCTTTTGTAATAGAAAATGAAAGCTGAAAGCAACTCTGCCAATAGGGAAGCACAGATTAATACATCAGGCCCAGGTTCAACGGAATAAGACTGAAATGCATTTTCCTCAGTTTTTAAGGCACACACACCTGCAGTTTCTTGCTTTCAATTATGCAGCAGCAGTGACTAAGCTTAATTTCCATTTGTATTTCTGTTTTTAAAAAATGAAGCACTAAACAGCATACATCTTCACCAAAATATGAAAGGGAGCTAGCTGCTGCTAAAGTGTTATTACCACAGGTAAGAAGAGAAGAGAGCTGGGAAGGATAAAGGGAGGTCTGGGAACTGAAGACAGTTAGTAACATTATATGTTTTCTAATGTTTTGAATTATTTATACTTAAAATAACTAAACAGAAAAATTATAAGAGTATGTTTTATACTTTTCTGCATCCAAAGTCAGTATAACATAGGCTGAGGAAAATAGCAGACTTTAAAAGCTGTATTTCATATATACTTTAATTGTTTAGGGCCTAATTCACTTTCATTTAAATAATAAAAAAAAAAAGTCATTAATTTAAGTGGTGTTTTCACAGCTCCTGAAGTATTATACAAACAGGAAGAACTATGAATATGCTGCATTTTTAAGGTAGAAATCTTTTCAGCAAGCAAACAGACAATTTCAGAGAACAAACAAAAGTATGCTAGTCAAAAATGTCTCTGAATATGGATACTATTGAAAAGTGCAAATCTTAGACATGTCATCTCATGACACTTGTAAAACTTAAAACAGTATTTATATTATAACAGACTATTTTCCTCTAACAGCTGGCTGAAAGATATGTCTAGTAGCTAATGCATCAGAACCTCTTACAACAAAAATAAAAGGAAAAAAGTGTTAGTTTACATGGTTTTTCTTCTTTTATGCTTAATGGCACCCACCTGCATCATGGCACCAAAGACAACACAGATGTTCCTGTGATTAGACTGAAATGAGAACTTTAATCAGCTGCAAAGAAGTCAGTCTTAAGCACATGCTATTATTATTATCCTACCATTTGGATAAGGATTCCAGCATTGTCTTGAATGTAAGGAATGAATATTATTGAAGGTTTTGGATTATGTGATCCTGAGGTTGTTTGCATGGATGTTGTTTGTACTAATACAATAAGTAGTTTAACTATAAAATTCTGATTACTTTTTTTCCCTTTACTTGAACTTCACACTTTTCTAACAACTTTTTGAATGCAGTTTGGCATTTTTTTTTTTTTTTTTCACAGACCTTTACAACAAATGGTCTTATCCATGGTGGGTATACTCTGTTCCCTGGCACTAGTAGTACTGACAGTCCCCCTGCAGATGGTCCCTTGCTCCAAGATGGTCTGTGACTAATTCTGCTACAAACTTAATTGAATGGTAGCAAACTTAATTTGCTGCAATATTGTTGCAATGTTATAGTAACTGTGTGGTGTCTTCCCACAATGATTATTCCTCTGAAAGAAGATTCTTAGGCTACTGGTCCTCTGTCAGAATGATCTTAGCTTTTGCAGGCTATCGCAAGGCCCATAACCTTTGCCAGTGATTGAGTCACAAAAAAGTTAAAGCAGAACTTGATGTTCCTGTTTTTTCATATAGACAGGGATGTTTAAAAAACTGTCAGCAGCTGATACCACTTAGAACAAAAGCCCTGTCATCATTAACAGTAGTGAGACAGAATTGGTATTAGCAATACTGATAAAGGTCTGTAAGATATTCTCATTGTGCACCAAATCCAAATTAAGCACGAAACTTTTGAAAATGGACACTTCTTGTGCTTTGAAGCATTCAGTGTAGTGACCCACATTTTGTACTGTTTATCCTTTTTTTTTTTTTTTTTTCCCACAGATGTGGACTTGCTAACTCTTCAAGAGTACTTTCTGTTTGCTTTTTAGATCAAGTGCATTTGTACACAAACCCATGTCCCTCCTTGTCAGTTTCTCCAGGAACAGATTTTTCTCTGTCCATAATTTCCATGTGTTTTTTTAACAGAAATGTTGTCAAGTAAATATGCAGTTTTGATAAGTAACTGAAGTTTGTATTTTAATCATAGTTTATCCCATTACTTTGAACTAAAAAAATATTTTCCCATATTGTAATTATAGCTGAGGTATATAGATGTTGTAGGAGTGTGTCACTTTCTTGGGGAAATAAACTGCTATACTTTTACTGTGAATTACATTCTAGCATTGCTTTGAATATTTTCACCTCTGAAAAAATATTCATGGCAGTAAAACTATTCCAGCTGGCTTTGGCTAATTCAAATACAACAATGAAGGCATTATGTTAGTTTTAAACATGATTGAAATTGATTTCATTTGACGTAGTTTTTAACAGTAACTCCATAAAAGCTGTTCTTATCAATAATGCTTAATAGGTGCATATGTGGCCAAGAGGAATAACATACAGATTACATACAGTAAAGCAACATTGGATCTGAAGTGCTTCTTAAACATGGTTGAGGCACAAAAAGTACAGTTGTGAAATTCTGTGTAGGAAAGTTATGAAGTCACATTGAAGCAAAGGACTAAGAGTGATCAGTTATAGTCGTATCAAGAACAGTTAAACTCAAAAAATAAGATTTGAGAAGAGGGAAAAACAGAAGAGGAAAACCCCCTCATTTATTAGTGTGACAAGTCAGTGATGTTTATAGAAGTTTCCCTCATTCCCCTTAATACAACGCTAAATAAGATCCCAGGAGTAATTTTTAGTGCAGTTTGCAGTTTTCTGATGAAAAAGGCTTCCAGGCTTCACCTAGCAGCTACTATCCTGCTCTCCCCCCCTGCATTCTATTTTTTTTTTTTTTTTAAACCCCACAACTACGGATGTCTTCTTAATTAGTTTTACACTATAGTCAAACTACAGATTTAGAATTTATTTTTTCCACTGTGTATGTACATAGACGTAGCAATGGATTTTTAGATACCGTGTCCTTAAGCACCTGCCTTTGAACATTTTTGGCCTTCTGTGAACAGGGACCAGAAAACGATTTTGCCTCTGCAGTTCCACGCAGACTTAGGTGTCTTTTTAGGGTATTTCACAACGAGATTCACCCTTTCCCTTCACACGCTTACGGGGTGGCGACCGGAGCCCGCGGGTTTGCGGAGGCTGGAGGGAAGTGAATGCGCTGAGCGATCCCCGGGCCCGCGGTCGGAGCGCGGCCGCCGCGGGGGCTGAGCGCTGCTGCACCAGTGGCCGAGCGCTGTGTGCTGCCCCCGGCGGCTGGGCGCTGTGTGCTGCCCCGGGCGGCTGGGCGCTGTGTGCTGCCCCCGGCGGCTGGGCGCTGTGTGCTGCCCCCGGCTGAGCGCTGTGTGCTGCCCCCGGCGGCTGGGCGCTGTGTGCTGCCCCCGGCTGAGCGCTGTGTGCTGCCCCCGGCGGCTGGGCGCTGTGTGCTGCCCCCGGCTGAGCGCTGTGTGCTGCCCGGGCGGCTGGGCGCTGTGTGCTGCCCCCGGCTGAGCGCTGTGTGCTGCCCCCGGCGGCTGGGCGCTGTGTGCTGCCCCCGGCGGCTGGGCGCTGTGTGCTGCCCCCGGCGGCTGGGCGCTGTGTGCTGCCCCCGGCGGCTGGGCGCTGTGTGCTGCCCGGGCGGCTGGGCGCTGTGTGCTGCCCCCGGCTGAGCGCTGTGTGCTGCCCCCGGCGGCTGGGCGCTGTGTGCTGCCCCCGGCGGCTGGGCGCTGTGTGCTGCCCCGGGCGGCTGGGCGCTGTGTGCTGCCCCCGGCGGCTGGGCGCTGTGTGCTGCCCCCGGCGGCTGGGCGCTGTGTGCTGCCCGGGCGGCTGGGCGCTGTGTGCTGCCCCCGGCGGCTGGGCGCTGTGTGCTGCCCCCGGCTGAGCGCTGTGTGCTGCCCCCGGCGGCTGGGCGCTGTGTGCTGCCCCCGGCGGCTGGGCGCTGTGTGCTGCCCGGGCGGCTGAGCGCTGTGTGCTGCCCCGGGCGGCTGGGCGCTGTGTGCTGCCCCCGGCTGAGCGCTGTGTGCTGCCCCCGGCGGCTGGGCGCTGTGTGTTGCCCCCGGCGGCTGGGCGCTGTGTGCTGCCCCGGGCGGCTGGGCGCTGTGTGCTGCCCGGGCGGCTGGGCGCTGTGTGCTGCCCCCGGCGGCTGGGCGCTGTGTGCTGCCCCCGGCTGAGCGCTGTGTGCTGCCCCCGGCGGCTGGGCGCTGTGTGCTGTGTGCTGCCCGGGCGGCTGGGCGCTGTGTGCTGCCCGGGCGGCTGGGCGCTGTGTGCTGCCCAGGCGGCGGCTGGGCGCTGTGTGCTGCCCCCGGCGGCAGGCCGCGCGGCGCGGCCCGGCTCCGCGGGCATGCTGGGAGTGTTGAGTCAGGGACCGGCAGCCCCGGCAGCCCGGCTCGCCGCTGGCTGAGGGAGACTCGCCGAGGGACAGGAAGACGAGGGACGGGAGCACACGAGCCGCCCCTCGATTGCAGCAGGTTCCCTCTCTTCCTCCTCTCTCCCTGCTGCCTCCTTCCTCCGCGCAACCGAGATGTCAGCTGAACGTGATGTTGTAAAATCCATGTGAGGACGAAAGACAGATGCAATGATTTGAAAGGTGAGAGGCTTAAACAAGAATATGGCTGTAATACATGACTGTAAATTTATTGTGATGAAGGAAATGGCTATGTATTGCTTTATACAACTGTCTGGTATCTGAATCTGGAAATGAATTTGCAGAGCAGGCTTTTGATATTGTTGTAGCAATACATGGTAATAAATGGGACCAAGTGCACATCTTATTCTGGAAACAGAGTGCCTCTCCCTACAGAATCATCAACCAGAAACCTCTCTTGCAATTTCTGTTAAAAGCAGCCATAGGAGTCTCATTTTTTGTGCTCGGTGTTTAAAAATATTATTACTGTTGTTAAAGTTTTCTAGAATAGAATTGATGTGCTTTGGAAATTCCTAGCTTTATACCTAAATAGTGGGTAATGTTTGGTGTTTTAAAAATCGTGTCAGGAAAAAGGTGAGAGATTTTGGTTCCCTCCTAGTGGCTGGTGAATGGAAACCAGAAACTAACAGGATATTATTTTGCAGTTAGATAATTACTGAATACTTACTGGGGCCCCTTATTTATAGTGCTGTATGATTTCTTATTTTTTTTTTGTAAAGATCATTTTAGGTTGGACAAGAGTGATGCATATGATAAAATCCATGCATATATTTATCAAGGCTACATATACATTTTTCTGAGAGCATTAGAGTAGTAATGTGATGGAGAAGGAATATATATTTTTAATTTTTTCTTTTTTATTAGTGTGTGATTGATCTCTAGGCGGCTACCTGCTAAGCCTTGTGATGGATGGATGGGAATCTACTCCCTTAGCGGAGAACTGATATTTCCCCTTTGATGGACACCCCAACCGACCACTTGCATTGGCAGATATAAGCTCGTTGCAAATAAGCACGGCCAATAAATGCAGTCAAGAGGAGGGCAAACCCTACTTGTCAGGGTTAGTTTTCTGGTTGGCTCTTTAAATCAGTGGTTTCACTTAACAGTTTGTTTGTATGTTTGGGGCTTGTTTTTATTGCCGATCCCCGTGCTCTCATCCCCTTGTGCATGTCCAGGGTGGCCACCCGGCACGCAGCCCCTTCCTGGCAGCTCCTCCGAGAGCGGGCCCTTCCCCGGCCTCCCCCCGCCCTCCAAGGGCGGGGAAGGTCCCCCCCGCTCCATCAAGTCGCTTCTCCGCTGTCACTTCATTTCCCTGGGGCGAAGTCGAGGGCGGAAAAAGATCCTCCTTATCCAGCCTGCCCCCACCCCCGGCAGCCTACCCGGCGCCCCGCTCTGAGGGAGGATGCTGTGGGAATCCGTTACCGCCCTCCTCCCGCCTCAGGCAATGGTAAAACTCCACAGTGTAGATTGAGCCGCTCTTTGCAGGGCGCGGGGAGAGACCTCCTGCGGCCCTACGGTCGGTCGTTTCCAGACCCAGGGCCGGGGGGTGTTTTGGGACTGTCCTCCCCGCCTCACTCCTCGTCAGCGAGGAGAGAGGAAGCCCGAACAGCTTCCTGGTCCAGCTCCCCCCGCAGACGGCGGTGTCAGAGCGGCGCGCCCACCCTGCGTCTCTCCAGGGAGCCCTAAAGCAATCCCCCTGCCACGGGGGCTTCCTAGCGATTCTCCGAAGGGGCAGGGCGCTGCTGGGGCGGAAGGCAGCCCTCAGGCCCGACCCCCGCGGCGAGTGGGCGGGCTCGCTTCCCTCCAGCACTGAGGGCGGCCCGCCTCGCCCCGCCCCTCCCGCCTGGTGGGCGGGGCGGGGCGGGCGCTCCTCGACTCGCTTCTCGAGGAGACGGCGGGGGTTGGCGCGTGCCGCCCGCCGCTGGCGGAGCCCCGCGGCCGCCGCCCGCCTCGCGCCGCCCGCGCGGGCTCGGCGCGGGTGTGAGGGTCAGCCGGCACGCGCGTCCCCTCAGCGCCCCGCCGGGCCGGGCGGTTTGCCGTTCTGGCTTTTGCTGGCGCTGGCTGGAATTTTACCTCTTCTGTGGAGGAGCGAAAGCTCCTGCAGCCCCTATCTCCTCGCGGGCTCATCCGCTTGAGCAGTGCGTTTCCCCAGTCCTTCCGTTCCCTGGATACGAGGAGGAAAAGGTCCCTTTGTAGGGTCTGCTTTTGCACAGAGGGAGTGTGTAATGGTAAGTTTCTCTAGTTCCCTTAAGGAATATGTTTCTGTGGGAAAAGCTTTGTTACTGTTTCTTGATGCAAGAAATTTACTAGTCTAAGTTTTGGCTTTGTGGGTGGTTGTGTTGAGGGGTGTGTGTGAAAATAACTCTACACCTCTTCAGTGCTTTAAAAGAAAGGTTCCCATTACTGATGTTTTTGTTTTAAAGCACTGCGTAAAACAGTTTTCAAAGGCATCAAGGTGAGTTAGCAATTTCACTTTTCCTAGAGGAAACGGGAGGAGGAGTGACTTTTTGTGCTGTGAGTGAAGGGAACATAAATTCTTCCAAAGGATTAATGAGATAAGGGCAGTCACTGAGATTTATGGCTTCACAACTCAGGTTCAAACTAGATGTTTAAACTGTGAAGAAACTGCTGCATCTTTTACAAGTGCACCCAGGGTGGGGTAGATCTTCCAGTTAAGAACTGAGATATATTTATTGGGTTTTTCTGTAGTGCTAGTTCAATTGTACTATGTCTTCAAATAAACATTTTCTTTTATCATCACTAAAATTTCAAACACAGGGGGAAGGAGATAATATTTTTCTAGTGAAACAGAAGGCGGGTACGTGGACTGTCTTCCTTGTCGTTCTCTCAGAAATGCTCTTTTTCACTTGAGAGAGTAGATGGTAAAAACACTGACTGTAGAAAACAATTGGAATAAATAATGTTGAAGGGTAGTACTCAGGATTGAAAGGTGGTTTCTGTGTTGGAAAAATTGTGTTTAGACAGGCTTGGAGGAGACTTGTCTGCCATTATCTTTAAATAGCTCCTATTTTAATCCTGCTCAATTAGTGGGGTACCTGGGTTGACATGCTGTCTTCCTGAATGTAGAAGATGATACTGTCTTATTTTCCTTATTCACTCTAGCATTGATATCGCATGCTTTGACTTTCTAATTGTGTGGGATTTTTCTTCCTCTACCATGAAGATGGGTTTTTGAATAGAAAGTATCTTCTGTCATGAACTAAGATGCATCACTTTTTCCAGTAGGTAGAGGATTCAGTTACTCAAGTGGTTTCCCTTTTTCCCAAGCATGAAGAAGAAAGTTGGCATATAGAGGCATCTTTTCTTCTTTCCCATTCTACTGTTCAAAATGGAGTTCCTTGCCTTAGCAAGTGTGTGTCTGGTCTTCCTGAGCATTGACGTCCTTTTACCTTCTGATAGTGTTTGAGTGCCTTATTCTACTCATTATACTTATGATACTCTCTCTTGTGGTTATGCTGCATTTGGAGGAGACCCATTGCACCACATCTTGTATTCTATGGGTGGTTCTTCAACTCCCCTAACCTATTGGTAGTCAAATTCTGATGAATAGTAGTGTAAGATATAATAATCCACACCCATCGCCCCTCCTGTTTCTTGCCCGCTCTGAAGGCTGTAGAAAGGTGGCAACGGAAGGGGCTACCCATATTCTAAGCAGCCAGATACTGTGAGCCCATTCAGCCATCTTAGAATGTCAAATATACCTGATATTTAGAGAATTAGCTATTCAGCATGCATGTTGTTATAAGAGAATGCCTAAGGTGATTTTCTTGCTTTAGAAACATGATTCTTGCAGACCTTTGAAGGATGACTAACAGAAGAGTGGGCTGTTCACACCTCAAAGAGGGTGAGGCAACCAGCCTGTGTATCACTTCCGAAGACAACATATGTTCTCCCACCTGTATCTCTTATGGTGTTTATTACATTTTTATCCACTATGATGCATTTGTTATCTTCTCAGTTTAATTTAGTTTGTAAGATGCCTGGGATATATATGGAGAAGGTTAGTCAGATCCACCTAGGAATTATTACTGTGATACTGATTTTTTTTTTTTTTTTTTTTGTAATGTGACTGCTCTTTTGTTTGTGATACTATATTTGTTTTCTTCAGTTTTAGGATTGCTTTAAAATATTTTTTTCAATGTAAGTTTTAGTTTTTGAGTGATTTTATCTGTACTTAGCAATGATGAGGTTGTCTCAACTTACTTATTTTGCAACATTAATAGTAGCTTAGATTTTCTACAAAGTCCTGGCAAAAGGGCAAGGGTTACTTTAAAGCAAACTGAGGTTATAATTGCTTTTTGAGGATCACAGTTGATCAAGGGAAATCATAGAAATGAAATTCTCTAGATAGTGCTGCTGCTTCTGGGTAACACTTAAAAAAATGCAAAGGCAGATCAGCAGACACATCAGTTAAATCTCTTTCTGGAGCACTTGATTATTTAATTGGTTACTTTTTTGTTAAGTAATGCACTTTGTAAAGAAACACTTTTTTTGGAATCAAGTGAGATTGATTTATGTTGGTTTGTTACTACTTCTTTATTTCCATGGAGGATGATTGTGGATTATTTGTGGGGTCCAAGAAAGTTTATAGGCATAGCTATCCAATCTTTGTATAAGAAAATGTAAATGTCTTTGATGAATTAACGTTGGTAGTGTAGTATTTAAATTGTGTTGTTGCTTTCTTGGCTGTTGATCTCACAGAGTTCTTATGATTCATTTAGTGATAGCAGCTTTTGCAGTGCCCAGTTTTGGAATAACTTAAATAGCCAGATTTTGTTCTGGAGTAGTTGTAACAATTAGGAACACCAACCTAATCTCCTTTCAGAGACTGTCAGGTGCTGAGCTCTGAGAAAGGCAAGAGCAGCAAAGATGTTTTAGCACTTCTGGATAAGGCTTCATTACTGTCACACCATTTTTGTTCTCGAAAGCCTGGAATTCCTTCACAATATTAGAAGTATAGGCTTTGAGATGGACAGTTTACATGTTTGGAAAGGTGTATATCACTACCATCTCTTTAATTTGTAATAAGAATGAGGGAGAAATGTAGTGTCAGAATTTCTGTTCTTTTAGGATGGCAGATGGAATGTGTCTAAGAATTGGAGGTATACTTCAGGGTTTCAAGTTGTGATTGGATATGTGGG